CTCTCTCTCTCTCTCACACACACACACACACACACACACACACCAGCATAGGTTGTATTTCTTGGTTTGTTTCTTTTCTTTCGCATGACCTCTCTCTCTCTCTCTCTCTCTCTCTCTCTCACACACACACACACACACACACACAGCATAGGTTGTATTTCTTGGTTTGTTTCTTTTCTTTCTCCTGACTCTCAAGTAGCAAGAATTCAACTCTGTCAAGGATGGAATGGCCGATAGGATCAATCTTGTGCCTTATTTGAATAAAATGCAGGCCCCTAGGAAAACAGTTTCCTGTGACTGGATATTTGGTGCTTTTTATAAACCAGCTGTCTCAATAAAGTCTTCACCAGCATGAGTGTGCAAAGGTTTACAAAAGCATATGGAAACTTGGTAAACAGATGCACTTTTGTTTACTGAACCCCGACTGGATGCAGTCATGAAGCAAAAGTGATGGTACTTCAGATGAGTGAAAAACGCCTTAAGAGACACAAGGTTAATGCCATAAATTCAAGTATTATGACAGCAAAATCTGAAGGTTTTTTTTTTAGTATATTTTAATAAAATTGACCAAATTTAAAAATAGCAATTTTTCTTCATGGTATGAAATTGCAGAACAGATAATAACAAATACTATGAAGATTACAGAGGAACGCATAAAAAAGTAAGACATTTCCCTATCCAACATTCCATCTGAGTACCAAAAAAGTCCTAGAAGAAAATGTTTTTGCCCACTCCCCACCTCAGCTTCCTTAGCTAGTGGATGAAGAATCTAAATCATCCCACAACGTACTGTGGGTGAGTCATAACCTGATTCTCTTCTCACTGCCCTGTCAAGCCTGGCTCTCAGTGAACTAACATGATTTCTTTCTCCAAAGCAGAAGTGGTTCTCCTATTAGCCTGCTAGAAGTGATAGTTAAGAAAGAAATACTTTAGAAATAAATGTCCATGTAGATAGTGGCCCTACACGAAATAACCATCAATCTGTGACCAGGAAGGACCAACTTCATCTTTTACATTCCCACCCAGTCAAGTACTCTTTCCACTAACCTTTACTTAAAGATGGGTGTGTGTGTGTGTGTGTGTGTACTTAAGTGTTAAGAACTTCTAGTAACAGCTGTGTCAATGTTGGGCTCTTCACAAGGCAGTTAGATAACTAAGCGCACACATTAATAACTTTTATGTGCTTAGAACAGAATGTGTAGCCTGCACGCACAGGATCATGTAATTTACTGGAAAGCATTACCATGTTGACAGTTAATTACTAAGTCTGTCATATCAGGATTCTACATTTCTACATTCACCTTCACTTAGACATTCTGCCAACAGGTTTTTCTGAAGCAGGAATTGTACGGTTGTGATACCGTGTCGTTAGCCATACCCCAAGTTACCTCTATGCTGTGGTTTGCCAATTATTGATCTCTTTCTTCCCTGAAGGCCAAGTTTCCACAAAGAGGTTACAGAAAAAGCAACAGTCTACATGCAAATTAGATGCTAGACACGCACTAAGACTTTAACCATTTGAACATAAATGCTAAGAAGCAGAGCCAGGATTTGAGCGGAGGTCACTGTGATTCCAAAGTTTGGGATTTTACCCTTACAAGATACATCAGTGGCCATCAAGTTGACTCCCAGCCATGCTGACTCTGGGTGTCAGGGTTTCCAATGGCTGATTTTTCAGAGTTAACAGCACCAGGTTTTATTTCCCAAGATGCCTCTGAGTAGACTCAACCATTTTAAGAGCAGCTGAGCCCCTTAACCATAGGACCCATTCAGGAACAAGACCAGCCTCCCATAAAGCTTGGTTGTCATCGTCGTCGCTTCTTATTTGGAATCTATCATGTTCAATGCTATGCCATTTATGTTCCTGCATTCTAATCTCTAATCATTCTCGGGGAATTTAGAACACTGGCATAAACATCAGTATTCGTGACACGCCACGTGCATTAATCTGCAGCTACGAAGAAATAGACCATAGTCTTTAAAATGGGGAGAGTATCTATGTTTTCTGTTGTTGGTGTTCAGAGAATTCTTTTAAGGTATTTCCCCCCTGACTCAGAGGTTCTATTTTAAACACA